GACACCACACCGGGACACCGGCACCGGGACACCGGCACCGGGACACCACACCGGGACACCACACCGGGACACCGGCACCGGGACACCGGCACCGGGACACCACACCGGGACACCGGCACCGGGACACCACACCGGGACACCACACCGGGACACCACACCGGGACACCTCCCGGAGGGCCCGTGCGCTGCCGTGCTGCTCCGCGGAAGCCGAGCTCCGGCACCGGGGGGGGTCCCCGGTGAGGCCCGCAGCCGGCTTCAGGCTCCTCGGCCGGCCGGTGTTGCTGTAGTGCTGTGGGAGGTAAAAAACCTCAAACAACTCAGCCTCGAAAATTACGGTTCACGTCAGGCTTCAGGCGTGCCAGGGGGAGGTCGCATTACCCCAGGCACAGTTCTCTGGACTCGGCGTGCTCAGCTGTGACCAAACTCAGTCACTCGTAGCCTTTGACGCTTTCTCGTCGCCCAAACTTCAGTTCCAAGATCAAAGTCTGGGTTTGTGTTAATGATTCCAGAATTAAGAGAAATGGTGGGCTGGGGAGAGGAGAGGAGAGGATGGAGGCTCACCGAGGTGCAGGGAAACCAGCAGCCCCTGTCCTGCTCTGCGCTGTTGTGTCAAACGCCAGCCGGCCCTTACAGCCACACGGAGGGAGAGCCGGGCTCCTGGAGGTGCCACGGTGTAGAGGGACCAGTAGAAACAGAAACTCTTTATACCGGTCAATTTAGGCCTGAGGTAATAGAGAACATGTTTTGACAAAAAAAAATACATGGCCTGTAGTGTAGTTTCTAAAGGAAGGTGTCTCTATGCATCCCTCTCTGTAAGAGCCTCCTCTCCCTGCGGTAACTCCCGAGCTTCTTGGGCAATTAAAGGGGGAAAACTTAAGTTCCTCGATATTCTGTGAAAAGAGGTAGAGGAGACAGCTACGGAGGCCTCACTAAGAGCAGGACTATCATATTATTTGCATCCAGAGAATCCAGTTGGGCTAAAATAGGAAAAATGGAAACTTAATGAATTGGTGGCAGTATTTATCAGTTACAACCACAACGGCAAGATGGCATTTACATCTTATCTGAAGCTTTGCTCCTGCAAAGCCTTTGAGGGTCATATAATTCTGCAGGAGTTGTTAGACATCAGTGGGATTATTGTCACACATAAATTAAAATCACTAAATCTTTGCAGGGCTGGTGTTGTGTGAAATATTCAAAAGTCTCTGGAGCTGAGCATGTCAGGATGTGTTTGAAACACGAGGAAGAATTTCTACGGGCAGCTGTGAGTGGTGCAGAGGAAATGCAATTAACCACTCAGGTTGTGACTAGGATACTTCTGTGGTGAAAAGTGCTGGGGCGCTTGGAAATACCCATGGGTGCTCTGGAAATTAGTTATATGCCCTACTGAAAGAATAGGTTACAGGTTAGGTCACTGTGGAAGTTAGAGTCTTCTTCCTAAACTGGAAACCTTCTTGCCTTATGTATTCCTGGCACATTTGGCTCTATTACAAGCCATTGCCGTCATTTTCTCATAATGTTCATGCCTCTTCTGGGGTGATGTGATCTTCAGGGTAGGGAGTCCCTTTAAGGCTCTTCCTCTGCCTTTCCTCTGGGAGGATTTTGTCACATTTCAAAGAACTGTTTAAAATGTCGCCGCTGTTTAAATTGTCACTACTGCAGACTGACTGTAGGTCTCCCTTTACTGCTAGGTAGAGAGCGGCTTTATTGTTTGGGGGAATCTGTTTTTGAATCAGTTTCTTTCTGCTGCAGTGAACATTTCAGGGAGCTCGTTAACATCTCTTTTGAGTATGCTGTTTACAAACAGATGTCAGCAGAACCCCAGGAGGGAGTTCTGGCAAAAGTACAGGACCTACGTGCCTGGAAAGTGCAGCGTCACCCTCAGTGATCAGCACCCAGAGGACTGTTCTGCTCCAAAGATGTAGATGGGTGTTATCAATCTCTCTGCTGACTGTAGAGCCATGGTTAGAGGATGGAGATACAGCAGGAACTACTTCTCTGGCAGCCAAACTCTCATGAATCTTGATGCCCCAATCTAAGCTACATCTGTCCCTAGCTCCCTAGTGAGTAACACACTCACAGGAGAGGCTGAAGGTAGAGGATGCACCAGTGCCACAGCCATGCCCACCATGATGCTGGGCTGTGGCCTGGGTGGCAGAGGATGGCACACGTTCCCTCCTGCCTCTCCCCTGGGAGGAGAGCAGAAGTGGCAGCAATGCTGGAGCACCACATAACTCTCTGCTTTCTGAACATGAGGCAGAACCCTTACAACACCTCACAAGTCACCATGTATTAGCAAAGCTGGTCCAGACTCCAGCTGTGGCATCCCAGGAATCAATACTCTGTTGTCATGACTGAACTGCTGTGGTTATCTGAGGAACCCCCAAGCTACCCACTGAGCAGTGTAGTTGCAAAGCCAGTCACAAGGTTGTTGCTCCTGCATTGCCCCAGCCAGAGCATAACAGATGTGATTTGGCTGTAGCGAGGTCTTATGACTGTGATCCTCCATGGGCTGGTGGGTGGGAAGAGGAGAGGAAAAGGAAACAGAAGAGACTTGGGAATCACACTTTCTACCTCCACTCTGACCTCTGCAGAAACTTATCAGCTATTCTCGCTGTGCTGGACTTGGCTGCCCCTTGTGTAGTCCAAAGTACATGTAAGGAACGCATGAGTTGGTCACCGGACACTGAAACGGTGCAAGAGCGGGCACACAGCCAGGAGTCTGAGATCTGTGCAAGAAGTCAGACCATGACACATGCCAGCACTGAGAGGGCTTCACTTCGGTGCAAGGCAGAGAGGCAGTAAGCTGGGATTGACAGCCTTTTGACAAGGTAACTGACGCTCCATGCACCCCTGCAAGCTGCTGGCCAGGACATTTTCTGGCACTGGAGCAGTGCTGATTTGCTGCTTCTCTGTCCACATTCCCTCTTCTCCCTGTCCTCTGTCTTTCATTTGTCTGGGTTTCTCTCCTGTGTTTGTCATATGCAGACAGAATGTTACAGATCAAAAAAATGTCCCTTTGCTTCACTAAATCACTAAAATCACATGATTTTACAGCTGGGTAGTTATTAATTCCATAAGGAACTAACAGTGTTTATATTTTGTAAACAAAAGACAGTTGACAATGCATGAAAATAATTACTTCAGAGTTTTCAGGTCTCCTGCTAAGCTGATTCTTTTTGAGAAGTAAGGCTTTACATTTTGGATCCCTTTTCAGGGAGTCTTTTAAAGTTTCCCTGTCTCTTAAAGTGATGCTTTTTGCTGACCACACATCAAAATAATTTTTAAAACATCAATACTTAGAATCTTTCCAGGGCTTTGCTACATACATTTAATTCCTGGAAACCAATGTATCCCCAGTGCTGATAAACTAGAAAAACTGTAAATATCTTCATACCAAGTGACACCATGGTCAGCCAGTAATTCAGGCACAATTGCTGGATTATCTGTGCAACATCTTCGTCCATGCTGTTGCTTCTGTATTGTCAGCCAGTAGCAGACATTTCATTACAGAAGTCAGAGCTGAAGTGCTTGGACAGTGTTCAGTGCCTCTCTGCTGTATAAGGCAACTGAAATGTGATCTACAAGATTAGCAGGGCTTGTAGGAAAGAAAGGAACATGAATTATAGGAAAGCTGCCACAGTGACAAGGTTGAGTGCTGCTAGTTGAATGCAGGGTGAGGATCTCAGCAGCATGATGGTCACTGGACAGCAGGGGCCAGACAATGGCTGAACTATAACTGTTCTCAGAAGTTACTCCAATTAACAGTTGGGATTGTTGTTTCAGTGTGTTTCACTGTGCTCTTCTCTGCATTGGCTGATACCAGGTTTGTATCTGTATCACTGTAGCATTTCTTGGAGAGATAATCAGTAAGGAATAACCTTGAAGAGACTATTATGGCTCTTGCTGCTGTGCATTTTTTACTGAAGATCCCAAGTGCTACGTCCCTGTGGGCTCCACTGAGAAGATCTCTTCAACTCTGCAGCCGGTGCTACCCAGTTCATGCCTCTTGGAGTTATGAAGCCATAAAACAGCAGTACAGACTAGAGGTGCCAGAGTACTTCAACTTTGCAAGAGATGTGCTGGACAGATGGACTGAAGTAGAAAAGGTAACAGTTACTTGGTTTCTCTGATGCTGAAGTATTTAACGATGGTCATTAACGCTGAGTATCTGACAAATCCAATAACCAAGACACTGGGGTTATGTTCTGGTTATAATCTGATCATCATCTCATGCAGTTTGAACCTTTAGATCCCTTAGGCCAATGCTGTCCTACCCATGAGTCCAAATAGTTCTTTCCTTTAATCAGTAACTCCAGTGAGATTGAGTGTGGGTAAATAAGTGCTTCATAAATGAGACTCTGAACTGAACCAAAACCTTGCATCAATTCTTCCATCAGCCATGACATACACCCTACCTGGATGTGCCAGGGAAATCACTTAACCTCTGTGTGTTTCACTGCCTGCCTGTGGAATGAATAATAAATATTGTAGTGTCACCCATGTGTCCCAAATGTGAAATCTTTTGCATCAAGGACTTGGGATCTACAAAACTGAGCAACTTTTAAACCCAAACCAAACATAAACTCTATGCAACAAAAGGGAATACAGAAAAAAAAAAAACCATGAAGTATAGGTCTGTCACCTTTCTACTACATAGGTCTGGCCTCTATGGATTTAGGACTGATTTTGCAGGCTCAAACATCATCTGTTCATGATGAGGAGCTAAATGCAGATATGTCTAGCTTGGCAGCAGGAACAGAGCAGAGGTATCACTTGTCTGGCACACTTGTTCCTTTTGCAGAAAAAAACCCCAGTCTTTGGCAGGCTATAAACAGAACAAGGAACAGCCTCTGGAGAAGAGGTTTTGCCCCCTGAGGTGCACAGATAAAATCTGCTCCCCTGAAAATGAACCTTGGTGCCATTGTACCTTCAAATAGATAATATGGTGTCATATTCTTGCTGCCCCAGTGAATTTGTTGCTCAGGAAGTGCCTTACTACACTATTACTGCTAAATGCATTGGCCCCCTTTAAAGCACATCATATGCATATGTTTCAAATCACTTCACACATCAGTTAGGTGAGACACTGATTAAAGGTCACACTGTGTGGGTGTATGCTTTTGAAACTTTGATTGAATTTTCAGAAGTACCAGACAGGCCCAAATCCAGATGAAGTTGAAATGAGCTTTGAGGGCTCAGGAGACTCTGGGGCACAACCCAGAGGTACTCAAATTCATCAGCTGCTTTGTTGGCATGATCTGAACCAAAAAGATTCTTCTTTCTCTGTGCTGATTACTGTACAACCTCTTCAGAGTCTAAGAGGAGGAACTCGGGAAAGGAATACAAATTTAGTTTCCTGAGTTATATTTGTAGGCTGTTGTTTCAAAGGGCGAGCTCTGCCACATTTGGAATCCACAGTGGCAAATTTCTGTTGCATCCCCAAGTTTCTCCAGCACTGAATAAGTGATAAGCTTTTCTTCCTCAAACTTAAGGTAAAGGCAATGTGTTTCTAAAACGAAGCATTTTTACTGTACCCTGTTGTTCTATAGGAGGGAAAAAAGTCTAAAAACCCTGCATTATGGTGGGTAGATGGTGCTGGAGAAGAGGTGAAGTGGAGCTTTGAGGAGCTGGGAGTGCTGTCCAGGAAAGTGTCAAATGTACTCTCTGATGCCTGTGGCCTACAGTGGGGAGACAGAGTTATTCTGATTCTGCCTCGGATCCCGGAATGGTGGCTGGTGAATGTGGCCTGCATGAGAACAGGTTAGTAAAAGCCTAGGAATGTATATAGGTACAGACTTAAACCAGTCCTTGCTATTTAATGCACTCAGAACTACCAACGCGCTAATGAGGAGGAACTAGTGTCATGCTGGTCAAAAACACTCTTCACACCAAGTTTTTTCTTCATGGTGCTTTTAGGATTTTTGCACACACTCTATATGTTGAGGAAACCCTGTGAGTCCATGTGCCTCTGTCATTCTCGGCTTTCCAGCATTTTTGATGCATCCCAAATGCACCCTCTTGCTAACTTGCAGCGAAATTAGCCCACACTTAATGAAGTGTTTCACATGTTCCCCTGTGGGATTGTTAAATACCCAGCTTCCCAGTACTTACAGCCCAGCATGTCTTGGTGCCTCACAAACACTAGCAATATACCTTGTGAGGCAACAGCTGTTTCCCAGTAAAGACGAAAATCCAGGGAGATGTTCCAGGGGCAGTGTTTTCAGAACAAGGAAAGTTATTCTGTTGATTTCTCTTAGTGTCCCTTGATCAATACAGTGTTTGTTAACTTGAATCCTCACATAGCATTTAATCCATCAAAGAAATCAGTGTATTTACAAATGTAGGGCCATGTACTGCTTTTAGTACAGCTTTGTCCCACTCAAAAGAACAAACTAAGCTGAAGTCTGCTTGTAAGTACAGGTGTTATTCTTAAATGTTGAGGCTGTTTTTCCACTCCCTTTCCTTTAGGAACTGTCTTGATTCCTGGCACACAGCAATTGACGGCAAAGGACATTCTTCATCGACTACAGAAATCCAAGGCAAAGTGTATCATCACTGATGAATCTGTTGCCCCAGCTGTAGACTCAGTTGAGGCTGAATGCCAGTCTCTGAAATTCAAGTTGCTTGTGTCAGAGGGCCACAGAGAAGGATGGCTGAACTTTAAAGATCTCCTGAAGTGAGTAAATACCACTGTGAAAGCACCACAGCAATAATGAAAGAAAAACACGGTGGTTTGTTTTGCATAGGAAATGTTGGCACACGCTAATATTTTTTTACCCTTTTAAGACTGCACAGTGGAAAAAATGTTTATGACACTTTTGATTGCTGCATTTATTTTGGCTAAATATTTTCAAAAATTTGTAAGTCACACTTTCAAATCTTCATCATTTTGCTTATTTTAAGAAATGCTTCTTCTGATCACCACTGTGTGACCACAAAATGTCAAGATCCAATGGCTATCTATTTTACCAGTGGAACTACAGGATCTCCCAAAATGACTCAACATTCCCACAGCAGTTATGGTATTGGCCTCACAGTAAGTGGAAGGTACAAATATTGCTTTAAATCAGACATATTTCTGTCACTGATCACATAGCAGAAGGAAGAGAAACACAAGATTTTTACCAGAAACTTTTGTTTCAGTAGCTCAAAAAACAGCAGTTGTTTTACATCCCCAAAAGCGGGAGGTTTTTTCCACAAAACAAGACAGTTTGAGTCCAGCTGCCTTAGTTCATAGAGAACATAGCAGTCATGTAGTTGGTAACTTCTTTTTAACATTTTCTTGAACTTTTTGTAAATTTTTCATTCTGTGTAGTTATCGTAATAGATTGCCTGTGAACTGAACATCAGCACAAGTTTATGAAGTCTGTACCATAAAGGGGAAAAAACCTGGGTCTGTTAGGCTTCTAAATTCACGTTTGTCTGGATTAGACACAGCTCCTGCAGGAACAAAATGCTGATAGTGCAGAATCTTTAAATTTATAAAGCAATGTTGTTTATAAAATTCGTATATGGCAGTGCACTCTAATGGGCAAAGAATAATAATTCAGAAAATACCAAACGAGAAGTAAACAAACAAACAAAAAAAATCCTCATCCTTAAAAGTTAATTCAGCAAAACCTAAGCAATCTCATACATATTCATATACCATCATGTTCTGAGGTGGTATTAGCTTGTCTGTCAGTATAATTTTTCCCTGAGAAAAATGCAACATCAGTCTATCCTTGATGGCATCCTCACTATGCTGTGACTTACTCCTGCTCAGAAATTCATCCTTTTCTAATTGCCATTTACCCAAGACAACCAGTGCTGGATTTGCTTCACTAGCACATCTCTTGTTGATATTTTAATATCTACCTTATTCCTGTCAAATAGAGACTGTGGACTGTTTCCTTGTGTTACCAGGTACTGGCTGGACTTGACTTCCTCAGATATATTTTGGAATACGTCAGACACGGGCTGGGCAAAGTCAGCTTGGAGCAGCATCTTTTCGCCATGGATTCAAGGGGCATGTGTATTTGTACATAAGATGCCACACTTTGACCCACACATTGTCTTTGAGGTAAGGGAGGAGAGCCCAGCAACAAACAGCACTATTCTCTCTGGCTGCTCTTGCCCAGATTTTCATTTCCTCTGGTGCTTTCACCAGGCAGTAACCGACTGATTAGTTAAGTAGTGAGTGCTGCAAATATGTACCCCAAAACAGGAGCATATTTGACATCCAGAGAGTTTCATCATACACTCTGCTGTGGATTTGACTGCACAAACCTGCAAACATACATTATTAGGCCTAAAAGTGAAGTACACAAGAAATTGTTCAGGGATTCATGGAGCACTTCGGTATTGTTATTAAAATCAGCGCCAATAACAGATGAATGAGAATTTCAGTTGCCTGTACCATTTAATTAAAAGTTAAGGCGTGAAGAGGCAGCAAGGTTGAATTTCAACAAAAGGCACCAACGTT